AAACTTTGTTGAGTCACATGCTTTAGTTTGCAGTCCTGTTGCCTAAAGAGTGAGTGGAATGGGACCATCAGCAGGGAGCAAAGGTCAGCTGCACTGGTTTTTGTTTTATTGTCATGATATTAACCCTTCAAATCTGTAACTATGGCATAATAAAACATAATTTTAAGGTAGCACAAGTTAAGAAAAGTCATACAATCAGTAAACTGATTCAGTAGTGTCAGTTACAAATTTTGAACTGCAGAACAGTCCATAATGGCCGAAGCTATCATAGTTTATTAGCTGTGAACAGCGTCTACCTTTAAGCTCTGTCAAAATATAAAGTGCTCCACAACAAAGTAATATTTTATAGACAGTGACAGAGAATGAGACAAGAGTCCATTGAATGAAAACATCTCCTGTTATAGCTAAGTAAACTGACTAGCACTAGCATCTTACTGGCTGGCTAACTTGTTAGTGGTTATCTAGGGTTCTTTCTCTGCAAACATGATTTAATAGTGTATGCAAAGTGCTGACATTTACCAGTGATACGTAAGATTTTTCTGCAGTTAAACTTCATCTATGTTCTGGTGGGAATATATTTTCTATGTGTTGATCGGCATGTGCAGTTCTTTTCACAGTTACTATATCTTTGGAACAATATTCAAATATGACGTTTTACTACCTTCAGCCTTGTTGTGCTTAGATTACTTTTATAATCAGCTCAGATGATGCAACAATTGAAAAATGATTTAAATGAAAAATGATAATGATAGCAAAATATCAAGATGAGACCAGAATCAAAGGATTATGTACAAACATTAGGACAAATGTTTTAAAAAGTAATATATTTTGATTTAGTTTATGTCTGTTCTTTGTTCCTTTCCTTTTCATTTTGAATTCAGTTGTTTTCATGAGTTTGTTCACCTGCAATTATTATATAACCACAGCTGTAACTTTAAATACTGAGTGCTGAAATGATCTCAGTTCAGTTTTTACATGGACATGAGCATCAGTTTGTGTCACTCAAATCGATTGGTTCCTTGGGATTTGTTAGGGAGTTGCATACATGTTTTAATTACTCACTAATCTAATTTTAATTTGGATTTAATCATGATACAAATTAACTGTAATATTAACTTAGTTTATGAATGTACAGTATTACAGCACCTAATTTAATTATCTCTAAAATCCCTCAGGCTGTTTTTGTTCTTTATGTCTGTATGTACAATACCGTAACTAGGAATCCACTGAATTTGATCAGGTTTTACCACTTTTAAGAGTCTCTGCAGAAACCAAACATTCATGCTCTGATAGGCTTCAGCTTCCCTGAGATTGGGTGATGTGGATTTTTTACGCTTCAGTGGACGAGGCTGGACTTCAGAGGTGGAGGTAAAGAAGAAGGAGGAGGAGTGGCTGTACAGACGGGTAGCTCTTTCATCTGTCTGTCTATCTACTTATCTGTCGTTCCATTTTCCTGCTCCATGCCCTCACTAATTCACTCTCTCTCTGCAGCCGGTGAGTCAGAGGCTTCGAGCGTATACACACTTTAGCCAGTGGTCACAGGGGAGTTCAGACAAGTGAAAAACAGACACACAAGGTCTCTGAAATTGTGCTGTTTAAACAGCTTTACTGATGTTAATACTTCCCTACTTTTAGACTTTAAATCTTGAAGTGTAAAAATCATTATAATTTCTACCACTATCATTTTCAAAAATGTGCTTCCAGCTAAGTTGTACAAAATAAGTGTCTTGTACAGCTTACAGGTTGTGAGAGTTGTTCATTAGTATCAAATTCCCTCTTTACACATACAATAGCATTCACATAGGATGTATATCTGGATATCTTAGCGGGTGTTTTCTCTTAAGAATGTGGTCACACTGTACAGATTGCATTTACACCTGGCAGAGATCTGATCACAGTGTGAGATAAACCACCTCCAGATGTGGCCCAGCTGATCCAATTGGAATGCAGTCACACTGAGCCACCCCAAAGCACTCTGCATGTTTGATTGTATTAACATTAACATACATTTTTCTTTATCTAGATACAATATTGAGATAGAGAATAGTGAATGTTAATGCTGGGTTCATGTCATATTGGATTTATAATTAGTTTCTGACTTAAAATATAAAATAAACAAAACAAAAGGATGCTTTACATAAGCCAAAAACCACTGTTCAGTGTAATTAAACATACAGTTAAAGGATATACTATTATACAACCAGTCCAAAAATTTGGATGCACTTTCAATTGAA